TACAAGAAACGCTTTTGCTTCTCTTATTATCATCACTTTTGCTTCTGCACAGAAACGAAGCAGAAGTTTTACAAGAAGACACTTAAAAGTAAAGAGTTTCTAGTGAAGCACGAGCCGAGCTTGGCAACATTAAAAAAAGGCTGGTTCTCTAACTCTTTTTGCATTTACTGCCAAAATTCTCTTTTTTTCGCAGTCATTATAACTAGAGGTTTCTTCTTCTCACTTAAGTCATAATAAAATCTTCTTTCCATGAAGTCCAACTTACGCTCTTATTTAGACTGTTCTGCCGTTGGTAGATCTTTAAGAAGTCTCTTTATCGTTAGCATGGGTGAAATCGCTCATGCTGCGTGCCTATAAACTACAGTATTCAAGTGGTACCGCTCTACGAGACGAAACAGTTTTGCCGTGTTCATGGATAACCCTTCTCACTCGCCACTTGTATAAAGGATCCTTTAAACCCTTTTGTTTCATCTCAACATCATTGATCCATTTTAACAGGAATTTGTTTTAACCTAGTAAGTACGAAGGAATTGGAGGAAACTTTCGTGAGAGACTTACTGAAATGAGCGGTTGTATTATACGTTTCATGATAAACTAATATACTTCTTTAGAGATCTTTTTACCAGCATTAATTTAGCACACTTTGCCGTACCAATGTCCGCCTTGATAATATTTAGCGCAACTTTCGAATTCATCCTACTTCAAAAGTTGACATGAAATGTTTCAATAACAAACATTACAATTGTTGCATCAAAATCCATGATAAGCCATTGTTCCCATGGTAGATGGCTTGTGTCTGTTACACTTCGCACTATCTCATTCACTGCTGTGGCCCTCATAAATCAGTTGCTCGTAGCTTGGATACGTCGGCGATTTTGCCCCATTGTTACAACAGCATGTGTTCCGATCATGCAGCACACATACACACACACACAACACACAACAGCAGGATCACGCGCTTCGTCATTGCGTTTTTTCACGCCCATTTCCGATGTAGGAAACATCGCAGTTTGGAGTAACGCGACAAACGTGTCGTTGTGTTCTCGTATTCGGTCCCGAAGTCGTTAGACTCAAATGTTGTATGAAAACCCCATGAGGAGCGCTAAACGATACATCTCTGACGATTGTTTGAACAGTAGTATTTCTGAACAATATACTACACCTGGAATTTACACATGTGGTCCTTCCAGCAGTGCTTTTACTCATTCAGAGATTAGCGCTTTTCAGTGAGTTTCACGTTTCATAACGGGACAAAATTCTCGTCTCAAAAATTTGGTTTTTTTTCCTGCGAATAATTCCATTTACATGATTTTTTTCAGCGAGGTACAACAGCTTAAATCCTGCATCCAGACGATATTTCTCGTCTTATCGCAAAATGGCGTCGTAGGAGCGGCATCACCTGTATTGGGAGCGCTACCAGCAGCTCCTACTCTTTCTGCGGTAGTGCAACCACCGCCTCCACCACCACCACCACAACTGCATGGTCCTACTCGAAAACGTCCTGCACCTCCGCCACCACAGCCTGAATGCCCCGTCGCGTTGCGTCCGATTGCTTCATGTAAGCATTACCATCTACTTTCTCCTGTCCCAACTTGTACTTAGCCTGTTTCAGGTCCAACATTGTCGTCGCAATTCATGCCTCATTGGACGTGGTTAATGCCGGGATTGATGCGACCACCGTCGCCCACACTCCCAGCACCACCGTCTCTTGAGACTACAACGACAAATCGGCAAGAACATGAGCCGACAAAATGGAGTAATCCGTCCAGCGTGGAAAGTAATGGGCTAAAGACCGACAGTACTGCCGGTAAGCATAATGGCACAATCGTATGCGTATATCTTCGGTTCCACGATCGCACGTGGATCGTAGGGGAGACGAATTTTGTGCATTCATCGCCGTTTATTTGTCTAAGTTGGTCGGTGAACGCATGTGTGTGTGTGTGTGTGTGTCCCAAAGCTATGCGCTAGTTCTTTTGAAACTGGAAATGGCACAGGAAATGCGCTTGAGAGGGGAGCGTTAGGAGGAAATTATGATGATGTTCGTGCGACTTTATTCAAAAGGGAAAACAAAAATCTGGAACTTTCTTAGATAGAATTGAGGAAAAGTGGAAATAATTTTAGGCGAGTCTGCCAACATCGACATTGTAGGAATGGATGGAAGTGAGTCCTCGACATCTTCGACATCTACACAGGTTTCTAAAATTCTTACTCTTCCAAATTTTTACTCACATGTGTGTTCTTTAGTTTTCGCATACACTCCTAGTCCAAATTGATGTGCATTATTGTTGTTGATGTTTACCGCATATACTATTGCTTTTTGGTCGCGAACGCCGACCAATGCTTGTTTACGATGACGAACACATGAACACATGATCATTTATGTGCTCCCTACATTTATAATTGTCTGGATCAGTTAAGCGCTCAAAGATCATACCTGCTTTCGCCTCAAACATCCTTCGTGGATTGCCAACGTTAGTTTCGCTCTGCGTTCAGACCCGTGGGACAGCAGAAGACCTAGAATGCTGCACACTTTACTCATGACTTTGAGTAGTGGGCGAAAACCTCAAAAAAAGACTTTAATTTGGTGAAAAGGTAAAGTAGTAAAAGTAATGTCAGCAATTTCATTCTAGGCAATGCTTACATCACCTGCTGGCCAAGCTCAGCTGCCTGCATACCTCAGGGACTCCCATCATCCAATTTTTCCATTTCCGCAAAAGTCTGCAGACTTGTCGCAGTCGTCGTTCCTGTATGGCATGGTGAAGGTAAGGACGTAAAAGTCCCGAAAATGAAGTGTTTGTCCTACTACTTAATGTCGGAAATATGTGCG